AAACTAGTGCAGCCATGGTAGCACATGCAGGAGTGCTTGTCAGGCTGAGACAACTTAGGAGGCCCAGCTGTGATTCCTAGTCTACCCAAAAAAAAGTAAGGCAGATGCAGTGGCACACACTTTTAACCCTCCCCTACAGGAGACTGAAGCAGGAGGGTCATGAGCCTGTGGCCAGTGTGAGTAATATAGAGATACCCTGTCTGAAAAGCAGGAGTGGTAGCATCTGCCTGTGGCCCAAGCTACTTGAGAGGCAGGAGGGTTGCAGCATAGCATGACCCTGTTTAAAAATAACACCATGCACATATGTGAAAATACTCAGTAAACCATGCTGTAAGCAGATGTTCTGTCATCTAGGCTTTTTTGTTTCATTTATAGCACATAGAATAGAGGGAGCAGAATTCTTAGTCTCTAGCATCTTTGGAATGGTCAGTGAGCATTGGCTTCAGCTTAGTCACCAGCTGCATTATCCCCTACCAAGAGTCATCCTGTCCTTGAAAGCTTGGAAGCCAAGCTTGACTTCTCTCTAACTATCCAAGTTTGACATGGTATCATTTTCTAATAGAAGACTTTCATCTACATTAAAAATCCATTGTTTATTGTACCACATTCATCCATTGTCTTAGCTGTATCTAGGGATAACTTGCTTTAGCTCCTACAGCGGCATTTGCTGCTTCACTTTTGCACTTTGGTATTATGGAAATGGCCTGTTTCCTTAAACCTCATGAGGAAACTTCTGCTGGCTTCACACTTTTCTTCTGGTTTCTTCATTTTTTTAGCCTTCATAGAATCGAAGAGAGTAAGAGCCTTGCTCTGGATTAGAATGCTGTGGTTGGTTGATCAACTGTCTAGACCACTGAAACATTCTGTATATGAGCATAAGACAGTTTAGCTTTCTCATCATTCATGTGTTCACTGGAGTTGCATTGTAGTTTTCTTTCAGAACTTTTCCTTTGCATTCACAACTTGGCTGTTCTGCACAAAAAGCCTGGTTTTGGGCTTGTCTCTACTTTTGAGTATGCCTTTTTCGCTATGCTTAATCATTTGTGACTTTGAATTTAAAATGAGAGACATGCAACTTTTGCTTTCACTTGAACATTTAGAAGCCATTGTAGGGTTAATTGGCCTTTTTTTTTTTTTTTTTTGAAAGGTTTTCGCTATAGGGTGCATGCGCTTGCTCGAGAGACAGAGAGAAAAAGAGAGAGAGAGGCAGAAAGCAAGAAATCACCCCCTGGGTGGTGGCCACACCGCAATTTCTCTTCCTCCATTCTCCTCTCAAGGTTTTAGGATTTTAGATGTGCACGTGTGCATACACATGCACACCTGGAGTAAGTTTCAAGCTGCTGGGTCTGGGACCCGAACTGCAGTCAACCATGTGGGATTCCAGCACCCCAGCCGTTACTCCATCTGCTGGCCCCAATTGGCCTAATTTCAGTATTGTTGTGTCTCAGGAAATAGGGAAGCCTGAGGTGAGGGAGATTGATAGAACAGCAGATCAGTGAAGCAGTTAGAACACACAACATTTATTGATCAAGTTCACTGTGTGGGCATAATTCATGGCACCCTAAAGCAATTAATGTTGACATCAGAGATGACCGATCAAAGATCACCATAAAAGATAACATGTGATAATAAACACCAGAATAATAAAAATCTCTTTGACACCACTACTTTTCATACCTTCAATATGGTTTTTATCCATTTATTTTTCTTTCTTCTAGCTGTTTGTCATGTTTAAATAACCTTTTCCCACATTTATGCAATCCAATTATATAAACCTATTAGAGATATGGCAGAACATCCTTAAAATCACTTTGTTTATTCTCCCATTTAATATGCCTCTCACAATTTAGCCAGAATGCTGCCATTTTTCAGAGGAAATAAGGGAAAAAGAAGTGTAGGTCAGGTTATGTAAAATTAAATAAACAGGGAGAAAGAGACAGCACAACCGGGTTACTGCTGTGGTCACTGCTATCATCTTCTGTAGAAACCCAACAGAGGGATTCCAGGAGCAGATAGCACTCAGCAAAGTACATCTCTGGGAAGCCGTCAGAGAGTGACTGTTCTCAAGGCTTCTAGGGCTCACAGATCCTGCAACAAAAATCCCCAAGCGTGATTTACTTAAACAGAGATGAGGAAAATGGCAAAGGGCAAGTTTCCTCAGAGCCTCATTGTATTTCTTTTGGTGATTTTACCTCTCCTCTGTATGTGCTATATGTCGATAACTCCCAGATTTGTATATTCTGGCCAAACCTCTGTCCAGCTTCTTTTTTGCTAATTACGTAGCTCCACCTGAATGTCCATATGCTTTACAAACTAAACCGGTTGGCGCTGACCTTACTCAGAAAAATGCTTCTCTTTTCCTTCTATACCCTCCCTTGGTCTCTATTAGCTTTTATCAGTAGTTCTGTCACAAAAACTCTTTAAGTTCACCTCAGCTTTTTCCCTCTTAGGCAGTCAGTCACCAATATTTTTAGACCTCATCTGAACCCTTTCCTCCATCTCACACATACATACAGCGATCTGCTTCATTAACATCTTGCCTCCATTCTGTCCCCCTGGTATCTGTTCTTCAGACACCACAGCAAGGTGGCTCCCTGTTACATACAGACTTTACTCTGATATGGTCTACATGATTTCCGTAATATGTTAATTATCTTCTGTGTAGGGGGGAAAGGCTTTCATGGTCAAATAAGTTTAGAGAACATTTAATTATAAATAGATTGCCTCATTGAAGAACTCAGAACCTCTAAAGTATTAAATGTCTTAACTAGGTGCATGTATACAACTGCACTGCATTTCCCAAACTTGCCTGCCCTTAGAATCACTTCCTAAATATCATCTCTATGGACCCAGTCAATGTTCTGTGGGACATACTTTTTTTTTTTTTTTTTTTTTTAAGAGCAAGAGACTTTTGTTATAGGGTGCGTGTGCTTGCTGGAAAGACTGACAGAAAGTGAGAAATCACCTACCAGGGAGGATGCCCACACCGCAATCCCTTCTCCTCCATATTCCTCTCAGGATCTTGGGCATGGGCTCACACATACACCTGCCCATCATGAGTTTTAAGCCTCTGGGCCCATGACTTGAACCACAGTAGACCACGTGAGAGTCCAGAATGTAATCATTACACCATCAGCTGGTCCTGGGACATATTTTTTAAAAAGCTGACTTATAGAACACCTTACAACCTTCATGACTCCCTGCCAATCTCTCCATCCTCATATCCCACTATTCCTTTCATCAAATTTGATGTTCCAGGAACTCAAGACTGCTTGCAGTTTCTTGAAAGTACCATACTATTTCTTTGCTTTACACCTTGATCATGTCATCCTCTAATCTGTCATTATCCCCCTCTCTCCTTTCCCTTCCCTTTCTTCGCCCCCTCCCATACCCCACACCCACATTGACTCACTTCTCTTAACTCTACTCTGGCTCTTCCTTTAAGATACAACTCAGACTTTCTCCTCATGTGAACTTTCTCTGACTCCCCAGTCTCAGATGAGTAAATACACTTCCTCTGCACTCCTTGAAATAACTGTACAGTTTTGCAAAATGAAATAGCACCAAACTCTGTACAGTTCTTATTAAATTGAAGGCAGATCACAGGATACAAATAAATGTATTACTGTAATTAGAGGGCTGAGAAATTATCAGCCTGCTGAGTTATTTGTCCTGTAACATTTTCCACATTCTGATCTGACTGACTTATTCCTCCTGGTGTTATTTAACATGTTTTTTAATCTCCCAAAATAACTATAAATTGTTTAGTGATTATAAATATGGAACCCTATGAAATTTCAAGAGATTCTTTGCAAGAATTTTTTTTATATGGTGGCGTATGATTCTGATGGCAGCACATAGGAAGCAGATGATCCCCCGTTGCCCACTTTCTTTCATGTGGAGTTGATGATTAACTCTCAGAAGAGTCTGCTAAGTTATTCTGTGCCAAAACATACTGCGATAGCTAACTTTGCCCTAATATGCTGATAGTAATTGTGAGCAAGGATCAGAGAGGAGAAAATACAAATAGTCCAAGAAGTAGAGGAAGACTATTCAGGGATCACAAGTGGTTATAACTATCTTTGGATGTCCCTTATATTATAAACAGTAGCGTTTGTGTAGCTCGAGACTGCTTTCTTAACCTCCAGCACCCACCGGAAAACACAGTCCACTGTAATACCAAATTAGAGATGAGCCAAGAAGTTTTTGGAGTATTGATAGGCAAAGACATGTAGGAGATCGCACATAATAAGGTTTGAAAACCACAAATTCCCTTGATCATTTCATCTCCTTTTATGAAAGACTACACTAATGTAATCCTCAAGACTTTAGTGTTTGGTTTTAGTCATGCATACAAAGAGACTTCACATCGAATACTGATACACTCAGGTTGTTGTGATCGTTAAGAATGTTTCCTGGGCCCACAAATGGCATCGAAGTTAAGGCAGCTGAATCCCTTATGGCCAATTGCATGTTTCAATTGGAGGTCCGTACCTGGTGGCTTGAAAAAAACACCAGGCAAGTGTGTGTACACACTCAAAATTCTGTAAAGAGGATGGAGGAGAAGGGATTGCTGCCTGATCATCCCCTCTACAGGGTGCTTTCTCACTTTCCCTGTCCCTATCTCTGGGGAGCGCACATGTTCTATAGCAAAAAGTTAAAAGAAAAAAAAAAGTGTTTCTTCCATGTTTACACCAGCTTTTCTGTTCTTAGGACCCCTCTTTTGCCTGTGAGCTGTTACTTACTGATGCTATGTAATGCCTCTCTTTGTAGTACCCTCCTTGGTTTTTCTAATTTGCATCCAATCTTACTTGAATACTTTGGTAGGTTACAAACAGTATAGGATTGACTAAGAAGCAACAGCCAGTTGTGTAATTAGCATTGTATTTCTTAATTTACAGAATATCAGTAAGTTATGTACTGAAAGGAATTTAATTTTAGAATCCTAGCCCATTATTGTAAGTAAATCCTAATATTTTAAACTATATTTTTTTAATTAGATTACACCACCACCTTCACTGTCAGATCCACTTAAAGAGCTTTTTCGACAACAAGAAGTTGTAAGGATGAAACTACGTTTGCAACACAGTATTGAGAGGGTAAGGAAAGTTTATAATTTTTTGCTAAAAATAAGTATTTTCACAAAAAAAAGACAGCTTTTTTTATTAGTGACTTTTTATTCAGAACCATTTTGGGAAATGGTTATTATTATCTTGTGCTTATGCAATTAGAAGCAGGATTTCTAGGCCTATTTTAAGATAGGTGCTTTCATATTACATGTTGAGCATATTTTTTAAACAGTCTAATAAATTATCATGAATTTACAGAACTATTGGAGATATCTAGTGGGACATTTTGACTTCAAAATTTTGGAATCAGTTCTTGATACCAAGTGCTTTGAGCCAAAGTGCAAAATATAAAGGCTATGCTTATACGTCCTTACAGATCTACTTTAGTATCAGGTTTCTAGTGGTTAGTCTTGGCGTGAAATGACAGGGGAAAAACCTATCTAATTATTTATAGAAATCATAAACATCATTTCACTAGGATTTACAAAAATACAACACCTTCTTAATCTTTTAGAAAGATCAAGCACCTATGAAAATGTAAATTAAAATTCTTCATAGAAATATACACAGATACAAACAAAATCTTGTATATAATATCCTTGATTCATGCATAATGATTCCCCAAGGCAGAGGTATTTACCTGTTTTTAACTATAAACCCTTGTAACAATCTGTGAAATTTGGAACCTCTTCTCAAAATCATGTTTTGAAGTAAATTAAGTAAAATTCAATTACAAACAAATAACAAATAACAGAAAGAAGCATTGTTAGAACACATACAGCAGTATGTGTGACCCATTGTCAGTGATTTGTTAGTAATAAAAAGTCAGGTCATATAACACACATCAATAGCAATCTCAACCATCAAGCATGTCTGAAGTCACCCTATATATGTGGTGTGTGTGTGTGTGTGTGTGTGTATTCATCTGTGCACCATTGACCTCAGTGCGAGTCCTGGACCCAGCTACTTAAAACTCATGCTGGACACATGTGCGTGTGTCCCCAGAATCCCAAGAGTCTAAGAATAGAGAAGAAAGGATTGTGGTGTGGCCATTCCCCCTGGGGGGGGGTGATTTCTCACTTTCTATCTCTTCCTCTGACTCTCCAGTGGGCACACACACCCTATAGCAAAAATCTCAAAAATAAAAAAAAAGAAAACCTAGAATTTAAATAGTGATAGATGAAAGAACATTTTAGTGAGTATACTAAAAGCCACCATTGTACACTTTAAAAAATAATTTTTAAAAAGAGAAACTGCCAATTTTGGAAAGAATAAATATACTGGTAGAATATTAGGAGTTCTCAAGTTTCTCAGACCTACTGTGTAGAAAAAGCTACTCTGAGATCAAGGGGGTTTAGCCTATTTTAAGTGATTTTATCTTATTTAAAAAACATGTTGCTTTTTTTTATTTCTTTGTTCACTAGGAAAAACTCATTGTATCAAATGAACAGGAAGTTCTACGAGTTCATTATAGAGCTGCAAGAACATTGGCAAATCAAACACTGCCATTTAGTGCTTGTACTGTTTTACTGGATGCGGAAGTATACAATGTACCTTTGGACTCTCAGGTAAAATGCCTGTTGATACATTTAGAATACTCTCATCACTGATTTGTTTTGAAAATAGATATTTATAAATTTAATTCTAACCTTTAAGCAGCTAGAGAGTTATTGTAACAGTGCTAAAATAGAATCAGGCTCCTGTTTTCATCTTTGGATGAATTATTTGTTTAAAAAAAAATCAAACTGGGGACCAGCAGGTGGTGTGATGGTTAAGGCACTGGACACTCCCATGTGGCTGACCACAGTTTGGGTCCCAGACCTGGTGGCTTGCTTTCTCACTGCCCCCTGCCCTGTGCGTGTGTGTGTGTGTGTGTGTGTGTGTGTGTGTGTGTGTCTGTCTGATCAAATTAAAAGAATGAATAAATAAAATTAAACAATTCTTTAAAAAAACTGAAGTGATATCATTAATAAAGTTTATTGCCACATGTAAATTACATTAATACAGAACCAGCCATATCCATTTTCAGCCATATCCATTTTTTTGCACCTTATAAACTAGAATGAAATTTGTTGGTCAGAAGAGAAAGAATGTAATGATTAAAATAAAAAAATATAAACACAGACTTTGAATATCAGCCAAAAATGGACTAGGAAATACTGGGGCACGAGGGGTGTTGTTTGTTTTATTTTTAAAAGAGGTTTTTGCTTTAGGGCGCGTGTGCTTACTGGAAAGACAGATAGAAAGCGAGAAATCTCTCCCCAGGGGTGATGGCCACACCGCAATCCCTTCTCCATTCTCCTCTCAAGATCTTGGGCACACACTCACATGTGCCTGGCATGAGTTTAAGCCACCAGGTCCAGGACTCAAACCACAGTCGACTACATGGGAGTCCAGTAACTTAACCATTACACCATCTGCTGGGCCCTTTATTTTTTTACAGAGATTTTTTGCTATAGGGCATGTATGCTTGCTAGAGAGACAAAGAGACAGAAGGTGAGAAGTCACTCCCTGAGGGGGTAGGGGGGGTGGCCATGCTGTAATCCCTTCTCCTCTGAGGATTTTGGGCAAGCACACATATGTGCCCAGTGTGAAGTTTGAAGCTACCAGGTCTGGGACTTGAACCATAGTCAACTACATGGGAGTCCAGTGACCTGACCATTATGCCTTCTGCTATTCCCGGAAAATACTGTTTTAAAGCAGAGAAACTGCTACTACAAAGAATATAGGATTAAAAAAAAAATACTTAGCTCTCTCAGGGCTTTATTTTTCTCATCTATTAAAAAAAAGAGAGAGAGATTGACCTAAATCAGTAGACTTCAAATTTTAAGCAACCAGTTGTTTTATTTTAAATGAAAATGTTTGGAGATTACTTGAAGATACCCAAAATCCTGAGAAGAGAAATAGAGAAGGGATTTAGTATAGCCATCCTTCATGGGGAGGGTGGGGAGAGTGCATTCTCACTCCTCTCTCTGTTTCTCTCTCACCCCAGTGAGCATACATGTCCTCAAGCAATTTAAAGAAAGAAAGAGAGGGAGGGAGACAGTTAATTAATTAACCAGTCAGTGGTGTGGTGGTTGAAGTGGCTAGATCCTGCATGACTGACTGCACAGTTCAAGTCCTGAACTCAGTGGCTTAAGGAGCATGCTAGGCTCATGTGCGTTCTCCTGAGAGGAGAATAGTGGAGAAGGAATTGTGGCACGGCCGTCTCCCCCTGGGAAGTTCGTTCTTTCTCGCTCTCTTTCTCTCTCTCTCTTTCAAAGTTTGCTCTCTTTTGCGCGCGCTCGCTCTCTCTCTCTCTCTCTCTCTCTCTCTCTCTCATATGCACTCACTCTCTTTGGCAAGTACACATGCCCTATGGTAAAAACATTTTGAAAAAGGAATTGTTTGGTTCTAAGGAAATAAACACTGGAGAAACCACTGAAGGGCTTTCTAGAATTTCCAAATTCATGGATTTTAAAGAGGAAAATAGACATGGGGAATTTTTTTTTTTCCAATTGCTTTTTGCCATAGGGTCTGTGTGCTTGCCGGAGAGAAACAGAGAGGGGGGAAGTAAGATATCACCCCCACCCCCCCCCAGGGGAATGACGGTACTGCCATCCCTTATCCTCTCAGGATTTGGGGAATTCTCACACACATGCTTCCAGTGTGATTTTCAAGCCTCCAGGTCTGGGATTTAAACCACAGGTGACTATGTGGGAGTTCAGTGCTTTAACCACCATGCCACCTGCTGGCCCCAGATGTTTTTTAATAACTGAAATATGACTTAACTATATTGATAAAGACTGGACTAGATCGTAAGGTATCTTAAGGTCTTTTTAAGTTTTGTCCAATTATAGTGTAATTAAATCGATTTTAGAACAATATAAATGGAGGTTTATAATCAGGCTACAAGGAAAAGACTCTTGAAGAGTATTCAGAATGGTAAATACATATACCTATTCATTTCTTCTCCCCAAACTCAAAGTGACAAATGAAAAAAGACATTTAAAATAACCATAACAGGGACCAGCAGTTAGCGTAATGGCTATGTTGCTGGACTCTCGTGTAGTCGACCGCAGTTCGAGTCCCGGACCCGGTGGCTTAAACTCATGCTGGACGCGTGTGCGTGCGTGCCCAAGATCCCAAGAGGAGAATGGAGGAGAAGGGATTACAGCGTGACCATCCCCCCTGGGGGGTGTTTTCTTGCTTTCTGTCTCTCTGTCTCTCTCTGTCTGTCTGGTGAGCACACACGCCCTATAGTTAAAACCTCTCCAAAAAAAAATAGCCATAACAGAATTGCAAATTGAAGTGAGAAACTGCTAGACCAGAAGATTAAGAAATTTCTGATGAGATGTAAGGCACATGAAAATATATTGGTATGAAAATAACAGAGTTGAGGAGTACCCAGCCTTACACAGGTTAACAGAATTTCAAAGATGAACTAATTTGCCCAGTAAACTTTTCAAATTACTCTAAAATCAGAAGAAAAAAAAAAAAAAAAAACAGGTCACAACCAGCCCGATAACTTACAGGGCTAAAAAAATTACTATCCTGAGGAAGAATATTTTTTCTATCAAGCTGAAGAAATTACTGCTTTTTGCTTTAGACTTCATTTAGTTGTCTTAGATTTCTACCTAAGATTTGTTTTCTTTGTTTTCTCCTAAAAATAAATATAAATTTTCACTCGTAAAAAGATTTTGGCCCCAGCAGTTAGCGTAATGGCTATGTCACTGGACTCCCACGTAGTCAACCACGGTTCGCGTCCCGGATCCAGTGGCTTAAAACTCATGCCGGGCGCGAGTGCGTGCGTGCCCAAGATCCCGAGAGGAGAATGGAGGAGAAGGGATTGCGGCATGGCCATCCCCCTTGCGGGGGGGTGATTTCTCATTTTCTGTCTCTCTGTCTGGCGAGCGCACATGCCCTATAGCAAAAACCTCTCAAAAAAAATTTTTTTTTGATACCTGAAATATCACCAATTCAAATTTTCTTAGTCATTCAAGCCACCTGATTATAAATTAAAACTAAACTTGAAGAGATACCAAATATGAGAGATATTCTCTAGACAAGGAAGCTTATCCTAAAAATACTTCTGTATTATTAGAAACTTATTTAAATATAGAACTATTACCCTTTTACAGCTGGCTATAGAGTAAGAGGTCTTGAGTAGCAGACTTAATTTCCTACGAGAATACTCTCTGAGAAACTAAGTGGGAAAGTATACCTTTTTGGGGGGTAGAGGCTTGGATTACTTACTAGCCCAGTCTCTTATTATACTTCTTGCTTTCCAAAATAAACTTGTAGTATTAAAAAAGTTGCAACTGCGGCCCAGCAGATGGCATGGTAGTAAAGGTGTTGTACTCCCGCATGGCTGAAGGTGGTTCGATCCCTGTACTTGTCAGCTTGCTTTCTCATTTACCCTTTTTCTCTCTCTCCCTCTCTCTCTCTGTCCCTCTCTGGTGAAAATTGAAAATAAACAAATAAAAATAAATAAGTCTTTAAAAAAAAAGTTTCAACAAAAAACTTAAAATAGTCAAAATGTCTTACTTGAGGACCAAGGAAGAATGATAACTGCTAAAAATGTGAGTAGTGTATAAGAGCCTTTCTCTTTTACAAAAAAAGAAAATCAAGAGAGTATAATGTGTTCACAATTACACAGTAAGGAACTGTGTAAGGAGCTGAAATTTGAATACAGCTGTCTCAAATCCAAAAATGGTGTTCTTGTTCTTAAGAAGTTGATACAGGCTTTCTTTATTACCACTCCAAAAGATTTGGTACTGGAAAAAACGAGCTTCAAAGGCCTCCCATCTAAACATTTTTTCTTTTCTACATATGGTAAGCTTTAACATTTAAATTAAATCAGAACGTATAACCAGCAGATGGCATAATGGTTATATTGCTGGACTTCTACATGGCCAACCGCAGTGGGAATCTTGGAACTCACACTGGGCACATGTGCATGTGTGCACATTCCAAGAGGGAATGGAGAAGAGATAGTGGCATAGCCATCCCGCCTCCCCGCCGTGGGGGAAGGTGATTTCTTACTTTCTGTCTCTCAGGCAAGGGCGAGAGCATTTGCCCTATAGTAAAAATCTCTCAAAAAAAAAAAAATTTAAATCAGAACGCACTTATACTTGGATAAGAATTCCCATGAGAACTGTGGCTACAGTACTTCATATGACATGATTTTTTGAGAAACATCTTTGACAGAGCAGTAGAATCTGTTTAATTAGTAACTTAATGCAGCATTCCGACAATTTGTCTATTCAATATAGAAACAAAAGCCTTAGCAAATTTTAACAGTGTTCAGACCAGCTAGGTGTTATGATGGTTAAGACAGCTAGATCCCACATGGCCAACTGCACTGTTCAAGTCCTAGACCTGAGGGATTGAACAAAAACACTGGGCATGCATACATATGTCCCTAAAGTTCCAAGAGGAAGTGGAGAAGGGATTGTGGCATGGCCATTCCTCCACAGGGTCCTTTCTTACTTTCCCTCTCTGTCTCTTTCTGTGTCTCTTTCTCTCTCCAGCAAGCTCACATGTCCTACAGCAAAATTTTAAAAAAATCTTTGAGTTATTTAATTAAATTAGTTCATTAATATATTTATCTTTAAATTTGCTATAGGGCACATGTGCTTACCAGAGAGCTAGGTGGGGCAGGGAGAGGTGGGTGAGACAGCAAGCTGCCAGGTTTGTGATGCAAACTACAGTCAGCCACATGGGAGTCCAGCACTTTAACCACCACGCCACGTGGTATTCAGTTTATATTTCATCTTTTTAGCTATATATTTTCATCACTACTAAAAATGGAGTATACACCATAAAAATGTGTTGTAAAGTTAGGCGCAGTGGTGTGCCCCTGTAATTGTAGTATCTTGGGAGGCTGACAGAGAGACCTTGTCTCTATAAGGGAAAATAAAAGATACTCTAATGACATGTAGATTTTAAAGTGATTTATTGTATTTTGTAATATACAGCTACTTTTAATGTTCTCTTTCAGTCTGATGACAGTAAAACTTCTGTGAGGGATCGCTTTAATGCAAGACAATTCATGTCTTGGTTACAAGATGTGGATGATAAGTTTGACAAATTAAAGGTATGTATATTTAGAAATCCATTTAAATGAAAGATTTCCACTTGTTAAGCTGTAACTTTATTAGAAAGAAATAATTTGAAATGGAAGTATTGGTTAGCTATGACTCCTCATGCTGGATCACAATCGGAAGGGTAACTAGCCATTGTAAGGACTAATGTATTACTAAAGATTAAGGTACCACAGAAAAAAGGAGTTTCCAGTGTGGGTCTTTATGTTTATTATCCAGTGTATGAGAACAGTAAGAGAAGGGTATTAATTTGATTTGAGATTTTTGAGTTATCTTTAAAATGTTCTCTCAGGACCAGCACATGGCATAATGATTAAATCACTGGACTCCCATGTGGCTGACCATGGTTCAGGTCCTGGACTCTGGGCTTGAAACTCAGGCCAGGTGCATATACATGCCTTCCCAAAATCCTGAGAGGAGAATGGAGGAGGAAAGATTGCAGCATGGTCATCTACCCCCTGCCCCTGCCCCCGCCCCCCGGGGTGGGGAGGGGGGGTGATTTCTCACTTTCTGTCTCTGTCTCTCTGGTGAGCACACACACCCTATAGCAAAAAATCTCTTAAAAAATACTTAAAATCTTTCTCAGGCCAGCAGGTTGTGTAGTGGTTGCATCGCTGAACTCCCACCACATGGCCAACTGTGGTTTGAGTCCCGGTGGCTTGAAACTCAAGCCAGGCACGTGTGCATACATGCCCAAGATCCTGGGAGGAGAAGAGATTGCTGTGTGGCCATCCCCTCCAGTGGGTGATTTCTCACTTTCCCTCTCACTGTCTCTGTCTGTCTCTCTCTCTCTCT